GGGGGGAGTAGGGGGCGGGCGTTGTCCCATGGGGTCGGACGCAGAGGACTACTCAAAGTGGCCTCCCCTGTGATCCCGAGTGGGTGACATGGGATTTTGGTATTGATGGATGCCTAGGAGTTCCTCTCAGGAGGGGGAGGCATGTAGGGTCAGCGGCCAAAGTGTCTGCTCAAGTGAAGTCCAGTGGGGGTGGGAGCCTGCCCATTTTTGACATCCTGAATGCTCTGATTATGGCTCAGTCACCGCTGTGGCCTGGGTGTCCCTCGCCCAGGGGACCTGTCTGAGCCACTCTTTGTCCCCAGCCCCAGCCCTGGGCATGGCTGCCGCAGAGCTGCCTGTAGTGCCTGCAGGGCAGATGAATGCCCGGGATTCAGGCTGGCAGCGCTGTGGCTTTGGAGGGCCGGGGACTTCTATGAGGGCAGGTTGTCCGGGCCTCGTGGAGGCTCTTGGCGTGCTTCTTCCCGCCTGCAGCCTGCACGCCTGGTCTGGCCCTCCTTGCCTTGGGCCCAGAGGAGGGGTGCAGTGCCCTGCTCCAGGCCTGCAGCAGAAACCCCACGGGCCGGGGGAACTTAGGGCCATAGACCCGGCCAGGGGATTTGAGGGGGGTGGTGGTGTTTATGGGTGGGCCGTCTTCGAAGGGCCACCTTGAAGAAGGGGCTCAGCCAGGTGGGAGAGTCAGGGAGACCAGTAAGCCTGCTGGCCTTTGGGGGAGAGATGGGGAATGGGGGTGGGTGGGACATCTCAGGGACATGAAGGGTGGTTCCCGCTGGTGGGCAGGCAAGACGTGAGCTGGTCATGAGGTCACAGGGATGGTGGGTGGGCCATCTGGGCTGGGCCTCATGGACGCCCTTTGCTTCTCACAGCGGCTGTGGACAGCAGCCGGCTCGGGAGACCCTGCCCTAGGAGCTGGAGCGGAGGGACAGCCCAGCAGAGCCCGGCACCATGAACGACGTGACCATTGTGAAGGAGGGTTGGTTGCACAAGCGAGGTCAGTGTCCTGGGAGGGGGCCCACCAGGGCGGCAAGGGATGCCTGGGGGCCCAGGTGTGCTGCCCCAGTCAGGCCTGCTGGGAGCCCCAGACACCCCCTGTGGGGGCTGTGTGGCTGGGCTGGCCAGCCCCTGAGTGGCCGCCTGGCTGAGGCGCAGGGCAGGAGAGCCTGCCAGCTTCCTCCCGTCGTTCCTGGAAGGCAGTGAGGACTCGGACGTTCCAAGGCCGGCAGGCAGCTGCCCAGGGCACTGCCCAGGGCTCTTGAGGGCAGGGTTGCCTGGCTCAGCTCAGCCATTGCTCTGGGCCTGGGGGAAGATGCTGGAATTGCCCACGGGCCGAGCCTTGTGCTCCCCTCCTCCCCTTTCCTCTTCTCTGCTTTTCCAAGTGGACCTGAGGCACAGGTCAGGAGCCTGACAGGGATCTGGGCAGTGGGAGCTGGAGTCTAGACTTGTCCTCCGCCCTGCTTCTCTCATTGGAAGGGTAGGTGCTAGCAAGGTGGACTGGCTAGTCTGTCCATCTAGGTTGGGGTCCAGTGTCCTGGTGCCCCAAAGGATCCCCTTCCTCTCCACTTCCTCCAAGTGCTCTGCAGGAGACACCCCCCCCCACCCCCAAGACAGATGGAGAAGCAGGTGTTGGGAGACACAGGGTTTTGTGGGATGCATAGGAGTTCCTCAGCAGAACTGGCCAGAGGAGCTGTGGGTGCTGGGTTGGTTGGCTGAGATGGTGTCAGAGGCCAAGGGTGCCGTGAGCAGGTGAAGGGGCCACTGCAGGGAGGCCGCACCCCAGGCTCCCAGGGCGAGGTGAGGTGGCTGCAGAGCTGCATACAAGGGTGCCTTGCGCCTGCCTCTTCTTGCACCTGCCTGCCTCCTGTACCGCTCCCCTCACCCTCTAGAGCCCCCTGCCTGACCTGCAGTCCTGGCTAGTGGCGGGGAGTCCCTGCTCCCAGCCAGCATGCTGCCAGCTGTAACCCCTGCACCTCTTGGTCTTTGGTGCCTTTGTCGACTGACTGTTAGATCGCGTGCTGCCCCTGGGACAGTGGGCTCTGCTGCCCGGAGGCTCAGCCCCAGCTGGCTCGGCAGGAGTGTGCCCTCTGGAGTGGTGGTGCTGTAGCTGGTGCTTGCCCTGCCCACAGTGTCCAGAGAGCTCTGTTGAAGCCCTGTTCCTACCTCTCCAGGGTCTCCTCGGGCCCCTCAGAGTGCAGATAGACACAGGGCTGTCGGGGGGTGGCCTGAGCAGGTGCTCTGCCACCTGCGCTGGTTCAGGGGAGAGGGCAACACTGAATAAGGCCAGGCCATGTGTGGGGTGCCGGGCAGTGCTAACCACCTGTGCAGGCCTGACAGTGCCCCGCACCCCATCACCCACCCGGGCCCCCAGCTCACCTGATCACCTCTTTCTCCACGTCCCTCTCTCTGTCTGTTGGTTCACCTGGCCCACAGGTGCCAGGCACCTGCTGTGTGCTGATCTGGGGCACAACAGAGGGGATGTTGGTGTCCTGGTGGGGCGCAGTGGTTGCCAGACAGGGGACAGTGAGAGGGATGAAGAATTGGGTGAAGATATGTTGAGGCTGCTTTCTTTGGGGGGCAAGTAGGCCGAGTTGGGGTCCTGCAATGCTTTGTGCAGATTAGATGGCTGGTGTCACCACCTGGAAGGAGCCAGTTGCTGTGCCCCTGTGTGCCCCAGGGTGGGTCTGCGCCTGCCAGGGCTGAGCAGAGTGGGGTGGCCTCCTGCTGCTTCCTGCCCTGTGAGCCGTTCTAGAAGCTTCTGAGTCCATGCTGATGCCGGCTACAGTCCACCCTGAAGACGGGTGTGCGCAGCCTGCAGGGCAGGACCTGAGCCAGCCCTCAGAGCAAGCTCCCCCACGTGTGTACATGGGTCCCCTTGCACATACAGTCTGGGCTTACTGTTAAATTTCAGGCTGCCCCAGGAGAAGCTGTATGTGGTCCCCCCATGTCCATGGGCTGCTCACATGTGCCCCTCCACATACAGAGGTTCCTCCACATAATGTCCACAGTCCCCCCCCACATGTGTAAGGCCCCAGTGTGTTTGGGGCCTCTGCGTGTGTACGTAGGTCCCTCCACAAGTACAAGGCTCCCGAGCGTATGTGGATTCTCTACATGTATACGTGGGCCTCCATACCCGCATGGGTTCCTCCTACATATACGTGTGTCCCCTATGCAGGGGTCCACCACACATTCACAGGTCCGCCCATGTGTGCATGGTCTCCCCACACGTGTGCACGGGTCCTTCCCACACATACATGGGTCCCCACGGAACACAGTCTTCCCGTGTGTGTAGACAGTGCCCTCGTGGGGGTGGAGCCGGCTCATGGTCTTGTTGGCAGGGCGAACTCTCCCTTCATAACCAAGAACGAAAGAGGAAGCTCTAACCCCTGACCTGGGGGGTGGGGGCCACACTGGTTCTCTGCCCTCTGGCGGTGGGGTGGAGCCCTCAGCTCCCCTTCTCCCTGGGGCAGCGTGCTCGGGGAAGGACTGGGCTCTAGTGCAGGTCTCAAGGAAGGGGGCGGCTGGGCAGCCTGGTGTTGGGTGGACCTCTGTGAATGGCCAGACCCGGTGGGCAGCCCTGGGTGGACGGCTGTGAAGCCCAGGCCCAGGGGGCAGCCCCAGTGGCCTGGGGCAGGTGGAGAAAGAAGGGCTGGTGGGCTGAGAAGGCCCACCCTGCACTGGCAGCCCACCTCCCATCACAAGCTGCTGCTGAGTGAGCAGGCCCTGAGGACTGAGCTGGCTGGGGACGTGGTGGCCATCACCCTCTGACGCTGGACCTGCAGCCCCACCCTCGGGACTGTGGACAGTAGCACTGGTGGATGAGAGGCCACAGGGAGGTGTGCCAGGGGCAGCAGAGCCTGGACCCTCGTCCTCCCCTCCCCATGCTTGCTAGGAACCACCATGTGCAGCACTGTGGCCTGTGAGAGGGGCCTCGATCCCTCCCTGCCAGGACACGCCATCATTCCTGCAGGGTCTCCTTCGAGCCTGTGGGTCGTGGAGGTAGGGGAGACTCGGGCCCCATGACCCTGCCAGCTTGCAGGGCACCAGCCATGGTCCAGGCTGGGTGGAGCTGGTGGTCTTCCCTCACTGGGGTCTGCAGTGGGGCTACCTCTTGGTTTGGTCTGTGGCGTCTTGGCTGAGGGCAAGAGGTGTGACCAACCTCCCCGCCCCCCAGCCCATCCTGGTGGAGGGAACTGGTGACCCAGACAGGGCCCTTGGGCATAGGATTCATCTCAGGTGTGCACAGGGCCTCTCGGTGGGGGCTTTCACTGCCCCCACCTGGTCTGTAGAGCAGCCCCTCCCCTGCCCATGCCCCCCTGCAGTAATAGACTGGTGTGCCCAGACACACCAGATGGAGGACATGTGTGTGGGGACCGGAGGACCCGCAGGCAGGTGATGGGGACACTGCCCTTCATGAGGATGTGACCTTGGGGGGCGGGGGCGGGGTTGGAGTCAGCTCTGGAGGCAGCGGGAAGGCGGCTTCTGAGTGTGGGGCGATTTGGGGATGGGGGAGGCAGGGTCGGGCCAGGGGTCACTGGAGTGAGCAGAGGGGCCAGGTGTGGTGGCCTCTAGCAGAGGTGGTCTGCAGCTGCTGTCACTAGGGCTGGGCTGGGGCCACGGCCCAGGGGAGGGAAGGTAGCCCCTTGAGGATGCCCGTGTGCCCTCTTCTGGGTCCAAGTGGACACGGGACAGCAGTGCCAAGGACAGTGCTGAGCTGGGGCAGAACCTGGACCCTGCCCGTCCTTGACCTTCAAGGCGCCTTGCCCTCCTCCGAGGGGGACCACTCCTGCCTGACCCCGCATCACCCACGTGGCCAGGCAGCCCCAAGGAAGGAAGGAAGGAGCGAGCTGTCGGCGTGTCCTCCCACAGAGCAGTGTCCCTAGCCCTCAGGTCCGGGCTTCCAGGATGCCCTCCCCTACCGGGAGATGAGGGCCGTGCTGCGGTGTGGACCGTCCTAGAGGTGGCCGCAGCGGGCGGTCGCCGAGGGCCTGTCAGCAGCAGGGCTGTGGCTCAGGGGCTGGGAGGGTGAGCGCGGTGGGCAGCTGTCGTCGCGATGGATGTGGGACGACGGGGAGCTCGCGTGGCCGCCGGCAGCTGGCGCCTGCGCCCGGGCCTGCTGCGCTCATCTTGCTGTGGAGAAACAGCTCGCCGCGCCTGGCCCCGTGCCAGCCGCCACCGCTGCCACTGCGGCAAAGTGTTGATCCAGCAGTTTCACCGCAGCCCGGCTGTGCCACTCTGAACCCAGTCTCTGCGGGGAGGCTGCTGGGCGGTGCCCCTCCCACAGTGGGCCCTGGGGCAGGTGGCCACCCCTCACCTCAGCTGTTCATGCCTCCAACCTCCTTGTGCTGCCACAGCCAGGCCTCCCTTCCTGGAGCCTTGGGCAGCCCGCTAGCTCTCCTGTCTGCTCACTGGTGGACACTGACCCTGGACCATTGGCCACCACACTGTTCCAGCAGTGGGCTGGAGTCTTGCTGGGGGACACAGCTGCACGTGCTTACAGAGCCTTGGTGACATAGTGACAGGGTGCCCCGGGGTGCCCGGCTCGGTGGCCACTGGCCCAGGTTGGACACTGGCTCCTCCTTGGCCTTCTGCCCAAGCCAAGGCGAGCCACAATCAGCAGAGTTTGGTGATGGTGACTGTGTGGCCAGCAGGGAAGGTGACTGCTCCACCCCCACCACCCAGGTACCCCATAGCTAGACTCTGACCCTGTGCCATACACTAGGCTAGGGGCCCTCCAGGGACTGAGGACAGGAGGGCCACCAGGGCCTGTTGGGGATGGCAGGTCAGAGCTTCAGTTTCCAGCACAGCCCCTGTTGCCTGTGGGGGCTTGCTCCCAGCTTGTGTGGCCCAGAGAGGCAGTGATGTATGCCTGGCCCCTGGCCCCTGCCCCAGGGGCACAGCAGGGCCAGAGCCTGACAGCAGGGAAGGGCAGCCTGGTTGTCCTGCTCACCCTGCTGTCCAGCTCTCTCCCTGTGTGGATGGGAGCATGAGGTCACATCACAGGGACTGCAGGTGGGCAATGAGTGCAGAAGCCTGGTAGGGCTTCTGCAACTGGAGCCAGAAGGCCCGGGGACACGTGCATCTGATCCCTGACCTCGGTTGTGGGACTGTCCCATGTGGCCGCATGGACTTGACCCTGCTTCCATATCTCCAGGGGTCTGGGGGCCATTGAGAGAAGAGGTCCTGACCCAGGACGAGCCCTTGCCCCCCAGAGTAGAGTTTGTGAGACCCCAGCAGGTGGAGGTGACTTCAGGGCAGTGGGGGGAGCTGGCCAGGGTATGCATCCAGGCACGGTGGGCACGGCCCCGGGTGGGCGTGCCACGTGCGGGCTCTGTGGGTGCAGCAGTTGGTGAACCGAGATGGATTTTTGGCGTGGCGGCAGCTCATTGCCTTCACGCACTTAGCATCCGGGGGAGCGGCAGCTGTGGCAGGGGGGATACTCCATCAGGCGGACAGCTCCAGACTGGTGCCAGGCGGGTGGGAGTGCAGGGTGGTGGGTGGCAGGGGGGGTACTCCATCAGGCGGACAGCTCCAGACTGGTGCCAGGCGGGTGGGAGTGCAGGGTGGTGGGTGGCAGCGGGGGGTACCCCCCCAACAGAGCATTCAGCTTACTCCCACCCAGAGCCGCAGCTGTGGGGTGGGGGGCATGCGGTTGAGGGAGGCAGCCGTGGCAGGGCTAGGGCCAAGGGGCAACTGTGGGGTGGCCTGTGACCAAGAGGGCAGCAGTGGTGGGGACCTGTGGCTGAGTGGGCAGCTGTGGGGGGCTCAGGGCCCCTGCCTGCGTGCTGTGGCATCCACAGGCCTTGATGTCTACGCCTTGTGGTGGTGACCATGGAGAAGGGGACAGGGGCCCTGCAGCCCCCAGCCAGCATTGCTGAAGGCAACACACTGTGTGTCAGTGCCCCCGCTGCTCCATTGGCTGAGCCCACCCCCAGGCACCCTGTGGAGCAAGCCGTCGGGGGGCTGGGCTGGGGGCTTTTGAGGATGGTGGTCCCGGGTCAAGTGGCTTCAGTCATATCCATCCTGGTGGGTTCCTGGCCCCACGGGCTGTGGGTCCGGTGGGGGTGGAGCCTAGAGGGGAGCACTCCGCCTGCTCCCCTCTCCCACAGCCTGGGAGGGATGGTACAGAGATCCTGAGTATGGAGCGGGGCAGCTGCCTTTGTTCCCTTGTCCACCCTGTGGACCTGGTGTGCCCTCTGCATTGACCCTCACCCTTCCCACCCCCTTGGTCAGTGGCTCCATGGAGCTGCCTCCTAATGACAGGTTCCCTGGTCCATGCTGTGGACCTGGTGTGCCCTCTGCATTAGGGAGGGCAGGGGGTGGGTTGCTGCCCGCCGGGACCCTCACCCTTCTCACACATGGAGCTGCCTCCTAATGACAGGTTCCCTGTTGCTCAAACTCCTAGCTCGGCAAAATGTAAATGGGACGTTTCTCCCGGTGTCAGTATGAAAAATGACGGTGGCGGGGACACCGCCGAGGACAGCTGCTCGCATCCTGGAGCGTGGGCGCTGTTTGCGCTGAGGTTGCAGACCTCCCGGGAAACTTTCCTTCGGAGCTGGGAGCCCAAGGGGCGGGCCTCGCAGCCCCCAGGCTGCCGAGCAGGTGGCCACTGGCCCTTGGCCCTCGCCCACCTCTCTCCCCACCTAGCTTCCCAGGTGGGATCAGGGTGGGGCTCAGGGCTCATGTACAATGCAGGCTGCATCCCGGTGCCCAGCACAGTCACATCCCCGAGTCCATCTGTCCACTGGGTGAGCCCCGACCTTCAAGGTGGCACAGGGTCCATAGCCAAGGCTGGCACTGCGCTCTTTTATCCGGGGGGGGGGGGGGGGGGGGGGGGGGCGCTGGCTTTAGGGCCAGGGCAGTTCTAGGCCTCCCAGCACAGCCAGTAGAGTGCTGGCTGGGTGGCCTCGTCCACCTGTGCCCTTCCACGGGGATGCGATAGTCCTGCAGTTCCGTGGGCTTGGGTTTTGGGCATTTCTGCTAGTGGCTGTCGATGGTGGCCGGGCGGGTGGGAGGGACACGCCTGTGTGGGCTCCCCCTCACGGCCACATTACCCCAGGAGAGTACATCAAGACGTGGCGGCCTCGGTACTTCCTGCTTAAGAATGACGGCACGTTCATTGGCTATAAGGAGCGACCACAGGATGTGGACCAGCGGGAGGCCCCCCTCAACAACTTCTCCGTGGCTCGTGAGTGACTCCATGCCCAGGGTGCTCTAGTTGAGGGGGGCATCTGGGGCACATTCAGGCCAGCTCTACCCTCATGGCTGTGGGTCTTGGGGGCCAGGGCCTGGTCCTGGTCCCTTCCTTGAAGTCTGACCTCACGTGAGGCCTGCCGGGAGGGGGAAGCGGGCGCAGGGCTGTGTGCTGGGGCGGTTCTGGCTCCTTCCATCAGAACCACTCTTGTCCTGCCCAGTGAGACTGGCCTTGTGTGAGAGGAGCTGCCAGGAGGTCGGGGGCGGGTGGCCGCAGCCCAGGGGCCAATATCTGCAGAGCCAGGACGTGAGGGCCCCGGGCAGGTGGCAGGTGGGCTGAGCCCCTGAAGCGGGGCGTTGGGACAGGAGCTCAGTTGCGTGGCACCCCCAGAATGCCAGCTGATGAAGACAGAGCGGCCCAGGCCCAACACCTTCATCATCCGCTGCCTGCAGTGGACCACGGTCATCGAGCGCACCTTCCACGTGGAGACCCCTGAGGAGCGGTTGGTGCCCAGCATGGGGGCCGGGGAGGCTGAGAGGAGAGGAGGCTCAGGGAGGGAGCCTACCAGGAAGGCAGATCGACTAGGGGTGGCTGTGAGGGGAAAGGCTGAGGGAGGGGGCTGCTGGGGGCCGTGGGAGGGCAGGTGGGGAGGAGAGGCTGTGAGGACAACTCCATGAGGAGGAGGCTGAAGGGGGGAGACTGAGCACAGGCACCGTGAGGATGGGGTACGGAGAAGGGGGCTGTGAGGGGGAGCGTGCTGCAGGGCAAGGGTCCGTGAGCTCCCTGGCATCTTGGGGTCACCTGTCGCCCTCAGGGAGGAGTGGACCACGGCCATCCAGACGGTGGCAGATGGGCTCAAGAAGCAGGAGGAGGAGATGATGGATTTCCGGTCAGGCTCACCCAGCGACACCTTGGGGGCTGAGGAGATGGAGGTGTCCCTGGCCAGGCCCAAGCACCGTGTGGTAAGTCCCCTGGTCCTTCTGGCCAGTCGGTCCCCTCAGGCTCCTGTTAGTCCCCTTTGCTGTGGGGATGGAGGTATCCCTGGTCCCTCATGTAGGGCACCTGCAGGCCCTGCTTGCTCTGGACGCCTCCCGGTCGGCCTTGACCAACATCCACTGCAGACCTCAAGTGGCCACCCAGCTTCTCGCCCAGACCTGAAGGCCCCACGTTCTCCCAGAGCCCCGTTCCCATCACCCGGCCCCCAGCCTGCTTGGTGGCTCGGGATAGCCCTGACCCTGTCCGCCTGCTGCCGCAGACCATGAATGAGTTTGAGTACCTGAAGCTCCTGGGCAAAGGCACCTTTGGGAAGGTGATTCTGGTGAAGGAGAAGGCCACCGGCCGTTACTACGCCATGAAGATCCTGAAAAAGGAGGTCATTGTGGCCAAGGTGGGGGTGCCAGCACCGGGACGGGGGATGGGGGACGGGGTGGTTGGGGCCCTGGCTCGAGTCCTACCTATCTTGCAGGACGAGGTGGCACACACGCTCACTGAAAACCGTGTCCTTCAAAACTCCAGGCACCCCTTCCTGACGGTGAGGGACCCCTGTTCCTGGAGCCGGCCTGGGCAGGGAGAAGGGTGGGGGGCAGGGGTCCTATCCCCGAGGGACCTCCCCCAAGAGGTGTCTGAGGAAACCCCTTAGTATTCAGGGACCAAGCCCCAGCTGGAGCCACTGGGGGGAGAGGGCAGGACACATCTCACCTGCACTCCCTCCCCTGGGGAAGCCAGTCTCCCGGGGGTCTATGTCCCTCCCCCCACTGCCCGTCGAGGCTCTGTGCTGCCCGGGCCGTGGTCCCAGCCCTGCTGTCCTTCCAGGCCCTGAAGTACTCCTTCCAGACACATGACCGTCTCTGCTTCGTCATGGAGTACGCCAATGGGGGCGAGGTAGGGTGCTATGCCCACGGGAGTGCTTGACCTGCTCTGAGCTTGGGCCTTCCACCCTGTCCCCCAGAGTGGCACCTACAGGCGGTGTCAGGGATGCTGGGGAATTTGCCCCGGGACCTCGCAGCCCTGCCGGCATACTCTGACCACTTCCACATACCCAGTGTGGTGCACCTGACTCCCTGTTCGTACCCATGATGGGGATGTCCTCACCCTGTCCCCTGGTGGGCTGACCCGAGCCCCCCACTCCTGCAGCTGTTCTTCCACCTGTCTCGGGAGCGAGTCTTCTCCGAGGACCGGGCCCGCTTCTATGGTGCGGAGATCGTCTCAGCCCTAGACTACCTGCACTCAGAGAAGAATGTGGTCTACAGGGACCTCAAGGTGGGCGGGTGACGGAAGACAGGTGGACAGGGACTCAGGCGGGCGGGCCAGTGGGCAGAGGACAGGTGGACAGGGACTCAGGCAGGCCAGGGGACAGAGGACAAGTGGACAGGGATCTCAAGGTGGGGGGGACAGACAGGTAGATAAGGAACCTCAAGGTAGGTCAGGGGACATAAGAGGGACAGGGACTCAGGCAGGACAGAGGGCAGGGACAGGCTCAGAGGGGGCACACCAGCCCCGTGCTCACCGGTGGTCCTGGCAGCTGGAGAACCTCATGCTGGACAAGGACGGGCACATCAAGATCACGGACTTTGGGCTCTGCAAGGAGGGCATCACGGACGGAGCCACCATGAAGACCTTCTGCGGCACACCGGAGTACCTGGCCCCCGAGGTGCGCCCCACCCCTGCGGGAGAGTGCGGGGTCCCGGGTCCCGCCCCCATGGAGGGTGGGGCACAGCGCCCCTGCCACCCTTGTCCCCTTCCTGTGGAACTGCCCTCACCTGTGCTGGCTCCACCCCCGGAGGGCGGGCGCGCCCTGACGGCCTCTCCGCGCAGGTGCTGGAGGACAACGACTACGGGCGCGCCGTGGACTGGTGGGGGCTGGGCGTGGTCATGTACGAGATGGTGTGCGGCCGCCTGCCCTTCTACAACCAGGACCACGAGAAGCTCTTTGAGCTCATCCTCATGGAGGAGATCCGCTTCCCGCGCACGCTCGGGCCCGAGGCCAAGTCCTTACTCTCGGGGCTGCTCAAGAAGGATCCCAAGCAGAGGTGGGTCCCAGCTAGGGCCGGCCGTGTCTGGACTCAGGCGGCCACAGTGCCTGCAGGGGCTGAGGGTGGGGGTTGGGGCGCCTGCAGGGCCTGTCCCCATGGCCTCGCTTCCTCTAGGCTCGGTGGGGGCGCCGAGGATGCCAAGGAGATCATGCAGCACCGCTTCTTCGCCAACATTGTGTGGCAGGACGTGTATGAGAAAAAGGTAGGTGCCCTTGGCCACCACCACACCCTCCGCCCCACACTCACACAGGCACCCCACTCGCCAGAGCACTGACCCAGCGCATGGTGCATGGCCAGCGACTCGGGCCTGGCTCACAGCGGCCTGCACTGGCTCCCCAAAGCTGTCAGTCTGAGGGAGCAGACAACCTCGTCGTTCTCCCGCGGAGAGGCTGGTGTGTTTGAAATGCCAGCCTTGCAGGGAGCAGCCCAATGCTTACCCAACAGCAGCACCAGACCCGCTCCAGCCACTCAGGCCTGCACTTGTACCCCCACTTCACTGCCTCTTCACACAGGAGCGCCTGCCGGGCACCCCCAGCCCTGAGCGCAGACCCCTCCCACCGGCCGGGCACCCCATCCCTGAGCGCAGACCCCTCCCACCGGCCGGGCTCCTGTGCTGGAAGCAGTCTTGCAGGAGGCATGCCACCTGCAGGGCCAGTCACTGGGTGTCACCTCCGGGTCTGTCTCGGTGTCGTCGCCTCAGGGCCTGTTTTGGGGGTGTTGACTAGAGGCCTGTCTCTGGGGGTACCGCCTGCAGGGCCAGTCTCAGGGGCTTCCTCTACACACCCTGCACTTCATAGTATCTATCCCTTGTGTCCAGGCTGGGCAAGGCTTTTCTGGCAGGTGGTTTGTGAACGTGGCAGGGCTGGGACCTGGATCAGGACTCAGCCAACTTCTCTGCCCTCAGATGGATGCCCTGGTGCTGGGGGATTTTAGGGATCAGTGGCTGGGGCATGGAGCTAGGCTCCCAGTGGGACGGCACTTTCAGGGAGGAGGCCTTGCTCCTGAGTCCCATCTCCACCATCCATGGATGAGTAGGGATGGGTCCTTAGAGGCCCCAGGACACCTCTTGGCTCAGCCTTGACAGTACAGTTCCTTGGTGTCTTGGGGAGCTGGTCAAGCCCAGGGTACCATGAGCTCCATGGTGACAGAGCCTGTGCTGGGAGACCCTCTCTGTAGGCTGTGGGACCTCTGTCCTAGTTTTGCCACCTGAGTTGGCATGTGTGTCACTCCATATTTCAGGAGAGGCACAGATTCACCTGGGCCCACTTGCTGGCCTGTGGGTAGGGGAACCTATAGATGCCATTCAGCCCCTCCTGTTTGCATGAATGACCCCTGTGACCAGGCTGAGATTCTGGCAGGAAGAGGGGGCATGTTGTAGGTAGAGCTGGGGACCACCCCACCAGCACTTGTTTGCTCCCATCTCTTGCCCGCTTCCAGGGAGTCTTGCCCATTGTCCTGCGTTAGTAGGGTCTTGCAGAGCCGGGATGCGCAGTACCTCTTGCCACCTGCAGGGGCTGCTGCAACCCAGCTGAGCCATCTTACCCCTGGGCTGATGAGAACATTCAGCACCCCAGAAAGCCCCCTCTGGTGCTGTCTTGAGGTGCAGGCCCCCCTACCCCCCAGCTCTGCCATAGGATGGCTCAGCACACCCTCCTCCACTCCAGTGCTGCCTGGACACTGTCCAGTGGGAGCACCCACCCTGCACTGTCCTCCCACTGAAGGCTCGGCTCGGGTTGTAGGAGGCACTGCCCAGTGGACCGCCTCAGTTCTGTCTCCTTCCCTCTGCCCTCCCAGCTCAGCCCGCCCTTCAAGCCCCAGGTCACGTCAGAGACGGACACCCGGTATTTCGATGAGGAGTTCACGGCCCAGATGATCACCATCACCCCACCAGATCAAGGTGAGGCGGGGCGGCAGCAGGGAACAGGCCCGTGCTGCCCCTCCCCAGGGCAATGGGGGAGGACCCCCTCCCCAGCTGGTGTAGTGTCCTCCCAGCTGCCTTGGCCATGGACCTGAGTCCCACTCACGGCGACCCAGTGAGACAGCACTGCTGTTTTCACGGAGGCGGGAGGCCGCACCCTGCTGCCTGGCCACTTAGCACCCCACGCTTAGCCACCAGGGCCTCTGTTATGGGCTTCAGATGGGACCCCGTGTGGGGGTGGCGTGGTCAGAAGGCAGGCAGGGGCCCTGACGCAGCAGCTCTGCCCTGCAGATGACAGCATGGAGTGCGCAGACAGCGAGCGCCGACCCCACTTCCCGCAGTTCTCCTACTCGGCCAGCGGCACGGCCTGACCAGGCGGCAGGCATGGCCTGGACTGGGCCGGAGGCATGCCAACCCCACCCCCCTGCGCCACGTGGTGTACTCTCTCGAGCAGCTACCTGCGAGCTGGTCCGGAAGCTGCGGCCCTGCGGGTTTTCTTAATTTATTTCATCCAGGTTGTGCTCCAGCCAACAGGGAGATCTCTGGGAAGAGGGAGATCTCCGGGAACAGGTCCCAGGTCTGGCCTGTCCCTGTCCCGCACTTAGGCCACGCTCCCTGGGCTGCCGAGGCCCAGCCCAAATCTTAGAGACAGGAATGGCTCGCGGCCCGCCTTCCCGTTATGTCCTACTGTTACTGCCCCCTCCCACCCCCACCCAAGACCCCCACATAGCACTTGTCCTTCTTAGAGGCTTCTGTTTCCACTGGGCGTAGCGCCCACCCCATCCAGGCTGACCCTTCTGAAGGGGGCCCAACCCTCCACGCCCCAGTTGGCCACCCATGTTGCTCCCTGGCGTTTTTTTACAACATTCAACTTTAGTATTTTTATTATACTATGAAGCTCTTCCTCCAAATTCTTCAATAAAAACAGCTTTTCAAGTTGGGGGCTGTCTAGTACTCCCTGGGGGCCGGTCGACAGAGCAGTGGTCAGCTCATTGGAGTTCTTCCATTCCTTGGGGGGCCAGGCCCCCCGGAGGATGAGGCGCCTCCCCCGCCCCGCCCCGGCTCCCCAGAGGATGAGGTGCTTGGGCTGCCTTTGCTGGCCCCCCCGGCCATCTGGTTTTGTGCAGCCTCCTCTGCCTGCGCCCCACCACCCTCGGACCGGAGTGTGGCTGTGGCCTTACTTGGAGACCTGGGGACACTGGGCAGAGGGGGCCCTCAGGGGAAACCAGACGTCCCAGAGCTCTGGGGGCCTGGGAAGGTGCCAGCATTGACGTCTGCAGCCTCCCTAAGGATGGGGTGCAATGGCCGAGATGAACCAGGGGCAGCATAGCCCCAGCCACCTCTGCCTTGTGGTACATCCCTCAGGCTCCTCTGCCCAGTGCTCTGGGGACACCATATTCAGGAGAGCAGGGGCCTGACGCCACCAGCTCCTCCGTGGGTCAGTGGCCTCCATGGTGGTGGCCATGCTGGGGAGGGGCCCTTGGGAGCAGTGGCCTTCTTGGGGGGCAGCCGGAGCCTGGCTGGGTCTCGGATCCCTTGGTGGAGCCATGTCCTGAGGAAGGCAGCAAGTTGCCCACTGCCCGAGTGTCCTGTGCCTGTTGGGTGGCCGGTGGTGACAGGGCTGCTGCAGTGGGGCTGGGCCACTCTCCCATCCTCCAGAGGACCCCCGCTGCCCCTCCAAAGCCCATGTGAATACCATTTCCTCCAGGTCTTGCCCACAGACCTGTCTCCTGACGGCATGGCCCAGGACCACTGGGGAGCACTGGAGCCCTGCTGGCCATAGCTGTGCCCCCCTCCCCCGCCAAGCTTCCGTGGCAGGCTCAAGGTCACAGCTGCCTGGACGTCCTGGAGGTCTAGGTCCTCCAAGACCAGCTCGGCAGGCATGCCGCTTGCACCACCTGGTGGGAGCATGTGGCACTGCGCTCCAGTGCACTGCCCACTGAGGACCTCTGCTGGGCGGGGACAGGAGCCAGTCGCTGGCTCGGGTGCCAGGTGGGTGGAACACACCAAGCCACAGGTGCCATGGTCAGCGCTACTGGGAGGTGCCCAGGTTCTGCGCCCAGGTGAGAGCAGTGAGCTTGCCGCCCTCGAAGGGTCAGCAGGGCTTCAGAGGCCCGGGGCTGCCACAGGAAGTTTGTGGCAGAGACCCTACTGGACAGGCTCCGCAGAGGGCCTCTGCTGGGCGTCCTGAACCACAGGGACCTGTGGCCAGGCAAGCTGTGTGTGTGGCCTGGGTGGGGAGGGGAGGCAGTGCCCATCAGATCAGGTTACACTGCAGTGATTTTTCTTTAAAAGGTACTCTGCTTGCTCCTCCCTCCACCCCTCAGGGCTCCTGACACCCCGCCTTCCCTCTGCATTCCCCCCGACCCCCCAACACACTGGGCTTTGCCAACTCATACTTGCCCACGGCAGGCTCAGCCCTCCCCATGGTTCTGCTGCCCTATACCTGGGCCACCTGTGTCCTTGTAGGCTGCCCTCCACCTGTGGCCACCTGTGCCTTTGTGGGCTGCATGTGATCATGGCTTCACTGTCCTTGACCCGCCCTCTGCATCGCCCCTGGGTCTGTGGGCAGACTTCTCCCCTGTCTTCAATGGTGGGCTGTGCCTGCCCTCCTCCACCAGGCCCCAAACTTCCTCCCTGATTGACACCAGCTGTCCCTCCGCGCAGCCACTCCTCTGCAACCTTCACACACAACTCGCATCTGGTGTCTGTCAGGAAGTCCTGGGTCCACGCTAGGATCTGGACAGGTGCCCTGGGCCCCTGCCCTGCATGGGCTCTTGTTCATACAAAGCCCTGTTAGCTCTGATGACGCTGCCCCTGCGAGGCACCTTCCCCTCAGTGAGCCTCCACCCAGGGCCCTCGGCTCTCGCTGTAGTGGGGCAGCCCCTGCCCTGTGCCATGCACAGGTGGTTTGGGGCAGGGATCTCGGGGCAAATCCACTCTTGTCCTCTGTCCTGATGGCTCAGACCCCTTTGCCTCTGTATGGCTTTCTCAGCGAGCAGGACAGCAAGCTGACCAGCCCCACCCTGCTTGTCTTGTCGTTTGCCAACCCCCGTCCCCAGCAAATGCCAACAGGAGTCTTCTTGTCAAATATAAAGGTTTTATTCATGTCTACCGTACAAAATATAAAATTTGTGTGGCCTCCCCCCACCCCACCCCTCCCTCCATCTTTAGTCTCAGCAGCGCAGGCAGGCGGCAGCAGGGGGCCTCAATCTCTCAGTCTTCAAACATGGCACAGCTGCTGCAGAGCGCCCTCTCATGCACATCGCTGTCACTGCAGGGACCGTAGGGGAGAGATGGTGAGCGGCACCACACGGGACACCCTGGCCAGACTGATGGGGGCTGGTGAAGCTCAAGGTGGCAGTGAGGGCTGTCTGGCTCACTGCTCTGCCCGCCCCATGGGACTCTGGCAGGACACCTGCTAGCCCTGGGAATGCTGAGGGCCAGCAAGGAGGCCATGGAAGGGGGTGGACCTGTAGGCAGAGTGGGCACCACACCCCTGTGTCCCAGAGTGAGTCACAGTGTGAAAGGCTGGATCGCCATCTGGCTATAACCAGAGGTGGGTGCAGGTGTCCAACCTCAGGGTGGGCCCTGGGGAAGAGGAGGCAGAGGGGCCACAGAAGCAAGTCCTTTGGGACCTGGGCTGTCTGGGGTCCCAGATCGCAACCCTCGTCCTGCTTGGTGGCGAGGTAGAGAACAGAAAGGTGCCCACTTTCAAGTGACATACAGACGGGAGGAGACACTTGCAGCTGCTGAGCTGCTCCACTGAGGCTGCTCCCTGAGGGGCCCACGGGCCCTGCCACCATCAGACTATTACACTCAGCTCAGTAAAGGCCTGGACACAGTGAGGCCTGACAGAATCAGTGATGTCCCATGGTGCAAAGGGACCCACAGCAAAGGACAGCTGCCAAGGGCCCAGTCGGCTGGTGCGGACACTCAAGTGCCTGCACTCAGAAATGGCCATTCAGTCCGGAACTCACCCTGTGAAGCTGGCAGGCTCCATCTGTGACACTGCTGGGCACTCCTCAAAACGGGGGCTGAGCCCACACTTGGGGACAAGGGCATTCTACCACGATGCTGCTGCACATAGCCAGTTGGCCCGACCACTACTCCCAGTAAGAGCCAAGTTTTCAAGAAATAAATGGCTAATGCCGAGCACCTACAGAGCAGCCCCCATCTCACCCCACCCCAGGGGGACCCCGATGATGGGCTGGGGCAGAGGAGAGACTCACTCGACAGTGCAGCACAGGGTGCAGGTGCTGGTGCCACAGCCCCAGCAGGTACGTAGGCAGCGCCCGCACTGGGGCCGCTCACACTGGCTGCAGGCCGCTTTCCCCTCCACACTGCGGACGCATGAGGAGCAGGCCCGGAACACCGTCTCAGACACGTCTGCAGGGAAGCACCGCCAGCGTCAGCCCTCTGGGCCTGCCCTCGGTTTGGACAGGGCTGCCGGGCATGGCTCTGTGGGGGAGTTTTCTCCATGGGGCCTCCCTGACCCCCCGGGGGGGCTAAACACTGCACACCACCCAGCTCATGAGGGAGAGGCACAGTCTCCATGGTCTAGGGCCAAGGCCCTCTCCTTCTGAGGGTGGCAGCAGATACTGTCCCCTTGTGCCCAGTCTCAGGGCTGGGGCTGGAGAGGGAACTTGTGGTCAGTAGTGCCATGCCAGCCCTGCCTGTGTGGCAGAAGAGGCTCCCCCACCCCTTCTGAAGCCCGACCCCCACTGCACTTACTGGCCCCCAGGGCCTGGGATGGGCCCCGCAGCAAGCAGCCTCCTGGTCCAATGAGCATCTGCCTGCAGGTGGTTGCCGGGACAGCAGTGGGGCTGGGCCTTGGGGACTCGGGCTGGTGGACGAGGGTACAGCTCTCTGGCGGGCCTCCCTCCCACCCGCGCTCCATGAAGGCTTGGGCACCCTGGACCAGGAGCTGCCTGGTCCTCTCTGCAGGGGTGGGGGAGGGTCAGTCTAGGGCCCTCTGGCAGGCAGGGCCGGACCTGCCCGTCAACCCAGCTTCTGCCAGGCCCCTTCCCTGGGCCCAGCTGTCATTTCCCACAGAAAGGTTCCTGTCCCAGCATCCAGCCCCCACCAGCGCCCCCCACACTCCCATTATGTGGCCTGAAGCTGACCCTCTCTCCTCTGCCACCCAAACCAGACTCACTGGCCTCGAGTGGACCACGATTCACAGCGACCCCACAGGACGGGGTGGGACTGCCCCTGAGGGTTTCCGAGTCTGCGACTCTTTAGGGCGTAGAGAGCCCCAACTCTCTCCTGCAAGCGCAGGCGTGGTGGCCAGTGGGTTAGGCGTCGCTAACCGCAGGCAGGGCCAGCACTCAGCCCGCCGTGGAGAGTCGGGGCGCGGGCACCAGTCCCCCAGCGAGAAGCTCCACGGGCTCGAGCGGCCTGCTGGGTCCACCAGCCCCCCGCGGGATAACGCGGCCTGTGGGCGCCCACAGCCGGAGCCCCTGGTGGTGGCCGAGCGGCAGATCCAGGCCTGGCTTCGTGGCCGCCCCCTGCCCACCGCGGGCTGGCGGGCCCCATTCGAAGGCTGGTAGCGGGGAGAGGGCAGCGGGAGTGGGGTGGGCCGAGAGCCGGCCACGCCCGCCGCAACGGGTCCCTGCGGGGAAAGGCTGGTCAGCGGGCCGGGCGCCTTCTGGACGTCTCTGGCCCTGCTGCGCACACCGTTCCGAGGCCGCTCCCCTGAGAGCCCCTGGCCGCGCCGGCCGGCCCTCCTCCCGCGTGTCCACCTCGCCGCGCGGCTGACCAGCTCGTGCGAGGAAGACGGACGGAGGGCGGTGGACCCCGCGGCCCGCCCGCCCCGCTCACCGAAGACCTCCCGAGAGTGGCGCTCGCCGCACACGCCGCGGCTCAGCTCCTTCAGGCCCACGCGCACCTTGAGCTGCAGCGGGGCCGCGACCCCGAAGGGGCAGCCCCGCTTGGGCATGGCCGCTAGCCCGAGGGACACAGCTCCGCCGGCGCGCGCCTCGCTGCGCCCCGCGACGTCACAGCCGCGCACCAATCCCTTGCAGAGCGGCAGGGCGGGGCTCGCGGGCGGCGCGGCGCGCCATAGGCAGATGCGTCGGCAGGGGCGGTACGAGTGCAGCCGTGGGCGGGAGTCGACGGCGCGGGGAAGGCCGAGGAGCGAGGCGGCAAAGCCGCGATGCGGGATAGGCTGTGGAGAGGTCGAGGGGTGGGACTAGTGCTCAGCGTGGCGCAGGATAGGCCGGAGTTGGGGTCAGGGGTGGTCGGACGCTCCGGGGGCGGGACTAATGCACGTGCAGCGTGGGATGGGCCAGTTCGGGATAGGCCAAGGCCGAGCCTGATAGGCGGGACTTGTGCCTGATACTGCACGGGATAGGTCAGAGGCCCAGCCTCGGGGCGGGACTCATGCACGGCGAAGCGCGGGATTGTCCGGATCGAGGTCAGGGGGCGGGACTAGGAGGGCGCGGGAAATGCCCAGGGTCTCCGCATTGTTTTTGATACTAACAATCCTTGGGTCTCGCACCAGCGTCGCATAACCGAGGCTGCCCGCAGCCACGTCCCGGGTCGACACACGCACACACCACCCTCCTCGCACACACACATACACACACCCCTCGCCTTCGCTCTTCTCTGCCACGGAGCCCTAATTTCTTCCAGAAAGAACGGCTTGGCGATCCGTGGGCCCAGCCCCTGAAGGCTCAGTGGGCAGAGTTGTACCCAAGGCGCACTGTGCCAGAGCCCAGGCCACCCTCGCAGTCCAAGCCACCTGGTGGCTTCTGCATTGGGATCACAGACCTGCCTTGGGGACCTGGGTGGCACGGAGGGTTCTAGTAGCACAGGCTGGGAGACAAAAGAAATGCACCCAGGAGCACCTACAAGCTACGTCCCAAAGGCCACAGTCCCACGAGTCAGAGGGCAGTTCTTTGCTGGAACACAGGGGCCACCATGCCAGACCCACTCCACCCAGCGCCTGATTGTCAAGGTCAGGTGACAACAGCCCGACCCACCCTGTAAGGCAGCTGTTCTCAACCTGGGTCTCAACCCCTTTGGGGGTCCAAGGACCCTTTCACAGGGGTCACTGGGTTCATAACGGTAGCCAAATGACAGTTAAGAAGTAGCAATGAAAGTAATTTTATGGTTGGGGGTCACCACACCATGAGGAACTGTATGAACGGGTGGGTCTCGGCATTAGGTCTCGCCCACCCATGACTGCACTTTCGTCATGGCTCTTCAAGTTTTTATGCTGCAGGGCGACAGACACACTGCTCTGCCAGGTTCAAGGTGGGCAGTTCAAACCACCATTGCGGTTGGGGGGTGGTGGTAGGGAGCTTTCTGCTCCTGCGAAGTTTTATAGCCTTGGACTGCCCTCAGGGACAGTTCTGCCCTGTCATCCAGGGTCACCATCAAGCTGCATCGCCTCACGGTGGTGAGCTGTATTCATTTTCCTTATAAGTCTGCTGCCCTCTTGACATCCATTAGCTGAGATTCTGCTGCGAGTGGAACTTCTCCTTGCTGAAAGCAGACCAAAGTTCTCTTCCAAGGGCCGGTCCTCAGAATAAGGCATCTTTCCACTTTCGGTAATTTCCAGGGAGCCCCGACCCCCCACTTGCTCCTCTGTCTTCAGAGGTTTTTCCACACCCAGTGTCCCTTAACTCAATTGTGTAGGATAATCAGCCACTTAGACCCAAAGGGTGGTGTTACCCAAGGACAAAGTCTAGAAGGGTCAGGAGAGGAGGCAGGATGGAGAAGGGAAAGCCGGGGGTGGGGTGGGGCAGTGAGCCAGAGGATGTTTGGGGTCGGGGGCAACCAATAAGATTAAACAACGTGTGTGTGGATTGTTGATGAAACCTTAACCCAATTCACAGAAAGTTTTTAAAAAGTAAGTTTGAGACCATGAATGTTTTTCTAATAATAATGATTTTGCCCTCAATTGCATTCTAAAATGCTCTCTTCAGCCAGAAACAGGCGATGTGGCCACACACAGCCTGCCCATGGCCAGCGCCTCCTCCCCATAACTCCACTTCCCAGGGAGGCGTGTGGGAGAGACAGACAGACAGAGGTAGGCTTCCCCAGAGATGGGGGTGGTGGGGGGAGGTTGGGGGGGCGGCAAGGTGTTCCATAAGACTTTAGCCAGTTCTCCAGTTTACTCTATCGGTTTTTGCTTATCTTAACTAATTACCTTAGTTATTTTTTAAAGCACTAAGAAATTATACCTAGAAAAAAGCAGTTAAAGCTGACCCACCTTGAAACAAATGGTGTATTAATAAACAGGTGACTGCAGTCTAAAGTGGTGTTTAAAATTTAAAGTCAGTGCTGTGAGGCCTTCTGGGGGTCAAAGGCAAGGGAAGGCTGGGGGGTGGGGGAGACTGTGTTGGTGGAGGCTGTGGGTGGGGGGAACTGTGTTGCTGGAGGTTGTGGATGGGGGAGACTGAGTGGGTGGCCCCTTATGTAGGAAAAGCCATGAATGAGAACTGTTGGCCACAGGGCAATGCTAATGAATGGACTCACTGCCATTGAGGTGATGCTGATGCAGCTTACAGTGACTGGCAGCACAGGGCCAAACTGCCCCTGAGAGTTTCTGAGATTAACTCTTTACGGGAATAGTCTCATCTTTCTCTTGCAGAGAGACTGGTGGTTTTGAACTGCTGACCTTAGGTGTAGCGGCCCAATACACAACCATTATGCCACCAGGACCCCAGTGAACCAAAGTACATGTTAAGTGTCTTATACAGACCACCCAGACAACAGGATGACGTGTAGATGAGAAAGTGACTTTGGGGCTGGCTGGCCAAGGCGGCCTTCCATCCTGGTCCAACCTCAGCCTCACCCAGATGTGTGCAGGGGCGTGACCTGGGGGTCCTTTACCCAACTTGCACCTTAGGGATCCAGGTGCTAATCATACATTATGGGTTTGTGTACCCCCACCCCCAGATGTGTGTTGGAAACTCAGCCCTTACCTGCAGAGGCAATTGTGTTTGGAAGCAGGTTTTCTGTGACCAGGATTAATTGAAAAATTAAACTGGGGACAGCATGAGTCCTAAGAGCCCAGGAGTTTGGCTGCTAACTGGAAGGCCTGTGGTTCAAACCCACCCGTGGCTCCGAGGGAGAAAGATGA